GGGTACAAAGGGGGAGCGGTATAAAGTGGTATATATTCCAACTAGCTGTGACAAAGCCTGCAGAGGATTGTAAGCTACTCCATCCAACAGGGGTTAGCTTGAAAATTGCAGTAGTTTTTCTCTTCTTGTGCATTACCTGAATCTTGTAAACAGAGGCCAGAGAGTAATGGAATTTGTGTCATGGAGTTGATGGCATATGTAATAGCTAGGAGAGATACTGGCATACTGTTCAGTGGATACACTCTACTCCTTGGGCTTATCAAGAAAGTCATAACAAGATGAGACCTCAGGTATAAAAGAATGAAGTACTGTCCATATATTGAAATATTTTATAAACTCTCATGTGCTAGACTTCAATTAAGAGGAAAAAAAACCATAGATAACTTAACTTAAAATGACACAAAATTCAGAAAGATAGTAATGCATTTCATAGATAGAAAATTGAATACAATTTTTGAAGAAAGAAAACCTAGAGTAAGTACATTAAGCATCTGACTAACATCACCATAGTGCCTAAGAAGATAAGCAGGCTTAGCAAGAGATTGCATGCTTTGGCATAAATCTGATATGGGGGAGGCCTGCACATGTGTTGAGAGATTTTTGAGGTAGGCAGTACTGAAATATTTCATCGTCATGATTGTCAGTGTGGCACTGATTTTCTGAACTATGGCCAGAGCAAGGTAAATTTGCTATGATGTAGATTATTCAGGAAAGATAATCCCATTCACTTTCCTTTTGAAATGCAGAATTTTCTGAATTCCAAATTTTGGAATTTAGCATAGTTTTTGCAGTGACAGGCGCTGTGTATTGCCAATTGATTGCCTTGGTCCTGTGTAAGCCAGCAGGCTCTTGTCTCTACATAGAGCCCCACTGTGTTTTTCAAGCTCCATGTGTGGGCTTTAAACCTCTCAGCTGTCTTTGAAGTAGACATTCTTTTTCATCTGTTTTACATGTGGGAAACTGTTATGTAGGCTGATAATCTGTCTCTGCTCTCTGAAAATTCAGTAAATAATGTCAGAGACTTGAGAAGCATTCTACATTGTACTTTTTTTAGCTTTAGAGTATGTTTTGTCTAAGGTAGTCTATTAACATCAAATACAAATTGCATCAGAGACAAAGCTTAGACAAACAGTTGTCATTCCTCGCTGTAGCAGTGAAATCCTTATTGACATTGTCCTTATAACCCTATTGTATTATTTCTGTTTTGCCTTTGAATCTTAACTTATTTGATAGACCAGTCATTCACCTTCATCCTCCTGCTTTTTCATGAAGTACAGCACCACCGCACTGAAAGTGGTGCGCACTTCTTATTCCTAAGGAGTTAAGAAAAAACTACTTTCTTCCCTTTTTCTTTTATGCTGGATTATTTTCTGGGTTTTTTGCATTGTGCAGTATTTTGTGCCACAGGAACAATGCTCGCCATGTGGTGTCCCTTTGCTTTGATGTTTAGCCATCCTTGAAAGCTGTTCACTGCTTTGTGTGCTTCCTTGTTATGAACACTCTCTCTTAAATAACCTGACAGTGTGACAAGTTATTTAAAACCACAAGTAGATGTTATTATTAGCTGGTTTTTTCTCTTAAGTTTTATCGCTATATTTAGAGGCACACTTTTTCAATAGCACAAATAAAAATGGTAAAACTTGTATAAGATCAAAGCATTCACTGTTTATATTTTGTGAATGTAATCCTTGGATGATGCACCATGGGCTAGCTGGAAATTTGATCCTTATTGACTGCCATCTAAGAGAAAAAAGAAAATAGGTAAAAACTAAAATAGTAATTGGAAATAGCTCCTGTGGAGCAAAGTTCTCATGAAGCAGATTGATTTAGCAGTGGCAGAGTTGCTTTATTGATTGTAAGTCCTTAGTAAATTAAAAAGAGGACCAAATATGTTAATATTCTACGTGCACGTGTGTTTGACTGTGACAATTCAGAATGTTCTGCCAGGATAAAGACACATATAGGACTGTGGGAATGTTGCCTACATCAGTCCATAACAGACTTGTTAGAGATAAGAACAGAGTTCTTCAAAAACCCTTCTGGGTTAAATATTCTTTCCTCTACTGTAAACAAAGGATAGAGGAAATACTCTTGCTTGGTTTTTTTAAGCATTCAGATACAGTTCATCTAAATAAAGGAGTGAAGCATAGGAATTGCACTAATTTTCTTCAAAAGTTCACAGTGGGTTCCTTACATTTGATTCTCTGTCTCAATTGCAGTGTCAAATTTGTTGATAATAGAAAAAGTGCAAAACTAATATATTCTAGCTGAGGACCTCAATCTGCTTCATAAGCAAAAGTCAGTTTAGGATTTGGATTTTTGGCTCTTCTAATTACTGCTAATTACTTAATGTTGTTTCCCATTTGCAAGTAAATTAGTCCTTTATTTATGTTTTCCTTCCCATGTCCTCACAGCTTTTCATAAGGATAAAATTCATTTAAATGGGGAGCAGCCACACAATGTGAGATTACAGTACAGAAGCTTTCCCTCCCCAGAAAAGTAGGGAGCAGAAACAGATCCTGTGCTGGTGAGGATTAGACTTTCCAGATGTTACAGAGATAATCTCCTGTTTTCAGCCTCAAATTTTGCAGCATCATAAATTTTGTTTCACGTATTTCTTGTTGGCTTAGCATAGCTGAAATTTAGCCAGGAGGATGTGCCACTGCTGCCTGAAAATTGAGTTACCAGGAATAGTTTTGTGGCCCCTCACTCCCAATGTGTTATCTATTACAGAGCACTCTGAACCTCTGTTGTTTTGGATGCATGGTTGTTAACAGGACAGGGTTTGCAGAGCATCTTTTGTGAAGAGGCTCTGGAGCCATGCAGTGGGTGGGGGTAAAGGAATTGGAGATGCATGAGGTGAAGCAGCACAGAACTAGGGAGCTGGAGGTGCTGTTTCCCACTGCTTCATATAGAGTCTGGCATGTGGAAGTGAAAGGGAACAAGGACCTCTTTTGGGCTCTGAAGAGAGATGGGAACTGGGAAGTGGAGGGGACCCAGCAGATGTCTCTTCATTGACTCATGGGTAAAATGCAGTTCTTGAATATCATCTGCAAAAACTGAGCTTTGTAACTCTTACTGACCCAGAATGATGGACAATGGGTTAGTGGAGCCTCCAGGAGGGAACCTGGACATACTTACATTGAGGTTATTTTGCCATACTATCTTGTCCCTCACATCTGTCCCGGCAACAGTGAGGCAGAGAGGCAAAAGACAGACTGAGATATCATCTCACCCATTTCATCCTACCACTTCATTCCCCATTTTTTTCTTTCCATGCTTTTCCTTTCCTTGCCTGTTGGTCCTGATTAGTTATCTTCTGTTTTATTTGCCTTGCCAAATAGCTACATCTTTTTACAGAAAGTTGCTGCTGCTTGTGCTTTATGGGACAGCCTCCCCATCAGATTTGTAAAACCACTGGGTTTTCTCCTTTTTCACCCCATGCTTTTTTGAGGTTACCTAGAAATTGCAAAGTGCAAGGGAAGGAGTACAGTAGCAAGTGGCTGCCATTCATCTATTTTGTAGCTATTGAAGTATTTCATAATCAGAGCTTATAGTTGTGCTTTATTCCTCTTCCCCCACATCTCTCCACCCCTTTCAAACCTGCTGTTTGCCACCCTTGTCACTTCTGACCTTAAATTTAGATAGCCCAACAGGAGAAGCTGTGTCACCCTATGTGAGTGGTACTACAGCATAAATAATTTTTTTTCCTAAAAATGTAAATGCCCTTGTGGTTTGCTTCAATGTGCACAACATTAAATAGTAATTGTTGTAAGTGGCAATTTGTAGTGTTTAAAAGTCTTGCTTATTCAGTCTCTGTCTTGCTGTGTTTTTGTGCTGAATGACTGATCATTGCACCACTGTTTTCTCTTTGTTAAATGCATCTGTATGCAGAAGTAGAACTGCTCAATTTGTTTCAATCTGGCATACTGTAGTAAGTCTGCTTTTAAATTGCATGCTTAGTAGGTTACAAATCAGGTGGCAGCACTTTCATGGTGCTAATTCTCCAGTGTACCAGGAACTGCTGACTTGAATCGTTTTTGACCACTTTTCTTTCTCAGTAAGTCTTCTGTAACTTGTTTGGCTTGCTTAAATGACCTGCTCCTTATTTTCCACAGCAAGAGTTTCTCTCATTTGGGAAATGTAAAAGGATAACATTCCTAGCCCAAGCAAAAGCAAAATGTACCACTGCCATCTGGGTTGTGAAATTAGAATAAAGCTGAAAGCATTACCTCCATATATTGCCATGGCTAGAAGCCAGATGGCAAATAATAAAAGGATGGTCTGCTAGTTGGCATGTTAGCCAGGATCTTTAGAGACTACATGTGCTTGTTGTGCTGCAAACCTCCAAGAATGTGAGCAAGTTGGAAATTATTTCTCTCACCTAATACTGCTTATCTAAATGTTATGTATCTACAGAGTTAATTGTCTCAGCTCAGTCTGCTGGGAATGGATAAGCATTTCCAGAGGGCATAGGGTCATTCCACATCACTTAGCTCTGCATTTTACACTAGGATGAATAGCCCTGCGGAGGACCTTGTCTTTCTGCATAGACATCACAAATACACTGTAGCTGATGGTCTTAGATACAGCAAATGAGCCCCCTCTTCCTCTTATGCAGTTGCCTTGAGTTGCGGGGTAGTAATCCTTTCCTCACTCTCAGATACTCTAGAGATTGAACTGTGCTACTGTGTTCCCAGAAAAAATGTTTTTACTGTGAAAAGAAAATTTTATAGACATATATATATACGAAAATTTTAATTATATATGCATACCTTTGGTCTGCCTGAGATACTTGACATGGTGCTGAATGGGAGAGATCTTTAGGCCAGGAGACCTGGAGACTTTTGCATCCCTAGGAAATATGCAGCTGTTCCATAGCAGTATTCAGTTGAACACATTAGAGAGGCAAAGAAAGCTAGGACTTGAGAATACCTGACATGTATATGAAACTCTGTAAGTCACGCTTATTCACAGTGACTGGTTTTGTTTCTTTTTAGATTGTGATGGATTTCAAACACCCCGATGGCCATACAGTGGCAATTTTGCTGCCCCGATGCAGTTTATTGGTGATGACTGGAGAATCCAGATACCTGTGGACACATGGGTAAAAGTCGCTGCATTGCTGATAACAGAAGAATAATAAATGTTGTTTGTTTGCTTTGTTAATGACCTTCTGTATTTAAAATTACTCTGAAAGAAATCAAGTCAAGTTTTATAATTAATATACAAATTCACTCCTCTGCTCACTTGCTGCTCAGGTTAAACTGTAAAACTTGGGGATTTAGGCAGCTGATTGCCAGTCCCAGAGGTGCAGTTTACTGCTGCTGTCACAAGTGAAGTTTCACTGGGAAATCTCTCTCTCTCATGTCAGCAGTGTGAAAGTTCTTAATAACTCTGAGCTGGCAAAGAATTGATTTTGGTGCAATTACCTTCATCTTTTCCTTTCTCTCTTTCCAGCTCACAGCTTTTCCCATTGGATCACATATGCCAAAGGCTTGAGAGAGGGACTGATTTAGGAGAGTGACTTCTCTTACACAGAGAGCATGAGGGAGGGTGGTCTTCCTGAGCTATTCCCAGCTACTTTAGGGACATTTTAGCTGCTGCTAAGACTGCATTGTACTGAGCAGGTTTGGGATCCTGGAAAGAGATCTCTTGAAATATGTTTTGATGTTTTGCCTATTATAGAATTTAAATACATGCTTTTTAAATTGTGCACCACTGGGAGATACTTACAATGGGAGTGCTGAAATTGGCAAAAAGGCTAAAACCTTGGCAAGATTTAAGAGTGACAGTAATGCACTTCAGGAGAATATGGAAACTCTCATATTGGACAGAAATGCCCATGGTAAACATTTCTTCCTTTGTTTGACCCAAGCTGTCACTGGTTCAGCAGTCAATTGGAGACACTAACTACATTCTGTGTAAATTAAAAATCACATCCTTTTATTGGCAGAAAATTTTCTGCCTTTTAATTTTACTGGTTAATTGGTATCATGAAGAAGGATGAATATGAACTCTCTGATAACCTTTACATTGTTCATTTTTATAGAGCTCCCAGGGGAAGGAGGGCTTGCATTTGCTGAGGCCTCAGCTTTCTCCAAGGCTACCAGCTCTGCTCCTTCCAAGCTGGCCCTGGGCAGCCACACTCCCAGAAGGCAGAAGGATGCATGCCTAGCCCTTGCAGTACTTGCCAGCAGGCATTCAAGTTGGGGTAGTGTACCTGCCTATTAAGAACTGGAATGAGATTATTACTTAACTCACTTGTACCTTCAAGTGATGGTTGTCTTTTGAGAACCAATGACAAATTAAATTTGAAATGAAGATCCCAGATATTTCTACTTACATATAAGTGATTCCTGTCCCGCTGCTTGTCCACTTTTCCTTAGAACAGTTTTTCTGTATATTTTTAAAAGTAGTAGTGGGTCAAGATACCCAATAGGAGTAACCTTTCCATCAAGCTAGTGGAACATAGTATTGCAATCAACAAGATTAATCATCCAGCGAGAAAGTGTAGTTATTTCACTTGCACACATAATGTGTTCAAGATCAGCTGTGATGCCTTTTATCTATACCACAGAAATCAAATTAGAGAGCAAAAGAGTCAGTTTTGAAATTATTCTGGAAATATTTTCAGTGTGTGTACATATATAGCAAGGAATTAGAGACTTTAGTTTTGATCCTGTTAACAAAGTGCACAGAAAAAGGATTTTTAGTCAGTTCTCTCTGAAAGAGAAACATGATTTAGAAATAAGCTATACAGTGTCATCAAAGAGGACAAAAGATGTATGTTCTTTTTGTCTCATAGGTGAAAGTAAAATTCTGGCTTTTCTGATGACATTCATTTGTGATTTTTTTTTTCCAGTGAGTTTTGGTTTTGGTTGGGTAACCTGGTAACACTCCATTCCTGACACTGCAATAGTAAAACCACTCTGTGCCAAGCAAGAGGGTGTGGAGCATTTTGGTTTTGACATTGGGAATCCTGGTTTTAGCCTAGTGTTTATGCAGAGTTCTTGCTTGTAGTATAGGTAAAAGGAAATTATTTCGGTTGAAACCATAACCTTGAAAAATAAAACTTAATTTCTGGAAATATTATGCTTATTTTATTGATGCAGGTACAAAAGAAATCCAAAAGAAAATCTGCTAACTCAGGATTTGAAGTTCTGCTGTTGAGGGAGTCTTGGGCATCCTCAGCTGATTAATTCATCATAGCTCCATTATCTGCTGATATTAGATCCCATCCTTGCCATGGCTACCTTGGGAGATTTCCATTCTTTGGGCTATTCAATGTCTCCTTTTTACAACATCTGTATGGAGCATCAATATGCTGCTTCCTGACTTCCAGACAGAAAGGACCTGCACTCTTTTTCCCTGGTACTGCATGAGCGATCAGCTTTCCTGCGACAGGATAGCTGGCATACAGCAAAATACAGGAATGCTGATCAGGCTGCAGGCTGTTTTCTTGGCATTTGGGTAGTTCTTCGTTAAGTACAGGCACTGGTCGACAGTTTCATGTGACCTGCAGAAAATATCTGGTAGAAATTTGAGATGAAATTGAATGCTTACCTTTATAAAAATGTCAGACACTTTTCCCCTCCCTTTTTGTTCAGCCTAAGAGGGTTTAACTCAGCTAACCAATATGGAAGTCAGTTTTAGGCTGAGATTTTGTCCTGCTGAGAGTCAGTTACTTGGAAGTCAGCAGTTTTGAAGGGGCATCACTGGGAGGCCAATTCCTTAGAGATGATTTGCTTGGTTGTTTTTTTTTTCTTCCATGAAATTTCTGCAGTAATCTCCTTGATAACTAAGTTCAGGAAGAGTTTCAGTGTGACAGTAACAGCTTTGAAGTGCTGAGCTATTTCCCTGAAGAGTTTCCATTTTGTTCCAAGATTATCCACTTTTTCTCATCTGCAAGTGATGGGAAGTTACATGTAGATGCAGCTGTTTCTCTTCTCTTCACATGTTGTGTTTCTCATTTTACTTTCTCATTTCCCACTTCTCAACTTTGAGAGAGATCCATTTGTAGAGCTATTAAAAATTCTTGGCTTTGGTACTTTTTCATAATGTAAACCTCTTCATAAAATTAGAGAGTTCCAAATCACTTTAATTTTATTAATTTTGTTTCCAGTTTGCTCGCTTGCTAGATAGATTTTGCTCAAGAAAGATCTACAACAGAAATTCTCCCTTTAAGCAGTTTAGTAGATCTCCCAAGAGCTTAATTCTTTGCATTTGGTTCTGTCAATAAATGGAAAAGCAATTCTGTTATAAAGCAGAATTCATTTGAGAGGCCCATTTGAAATAAGAAACTTCAATCTGCTAATATACACCTCAGCCAATTCTATGCTTTTGTACCCATAGCCACCATTTTTAGTAGTGTATTCTATCTTTACCATACATATTTTTATGTCACATTGTCATGGTTTAACCTCAGCTGGCAACTAATTACCTCTCAGTTGCTTGCTTACTCCCCCCACCCTGATGGGGAGAATTGGAGGGAAAAAGTAAACTGTGGGTTGAGATAAGAGCAGTTTAATAATTGAAACAAAATAAAATACAACAATGACACTCACTATGATAATAATAACAATGCTGGTAATAGTAATGAAAGGGAGAGAGAAAGGAATGAAAACCAAGTGAAACAAGTGATGCTCCATGCAGTTGCTCACCACCCACTGACTAATGCCCAGTGTGTCCCATGCAGCAATGAGTGCCTCCCAGCCAACTCCCCCCAGTTTGTATACAAAGCAGGACACTGTGTGGTTATGGAATATCCCCAGTTTGGGTCAGCTGTCTTGGCCAGGCTCTCTCCCAGCTTATTGTCCTTGTGCTCTCTGGCTGAGCATGGGAAACGGAGATGTCCTTACTTAGAATAAGTGCTACTGAGAAACAGCTACACCATCGGTGTTTTTTCAACATTATTCTCATACTAAGTCCAAAAGACAACACTGTTGCTGTTAGCACAGATATTAGGAAGGAAATTAACTCTATCCCAGACAACACCAGGACAAAAATAAATATATAAAAAAAATTAAGTCCTAGACAAATAAACAATCAAACTTGATGGAAGAAAAGGGAGGGAGGAAAGGGAAATGTAATTACTTACAATTAAACAACACGTTAATTAATGTCATTAGTTTGTGTCAGCCCTTTTGTGTCTAAAATTGAATAAGTAGAAAACTGAGAAGCAGCAGTATGTTAAATAGCATGTTGTAATCACATTTGTCTTAATGTGCAAGAATTGCCTTCTTACAAAGATGGATTGGGTTTTTTTCTGATGCAAATTGAATTATTCCTTTATTTTGTATTACTTTATTTTAGGATCACACCCCGAAAATATGATATCATTCAAGCATCTGAGCTTGGGCAAAAAGTTGGAACAATCACTGCTGATGTTGGAGATATAACATTAAATCGAAGGGAAACAAGGACATCATTTACATTCAGGAAAGTGAGGAGAAGCCCTTGCAATTGCAGTAAGTGTCTTGAGGCAGTCTTCAAGTCAAAATTGTTATTTATCACCATTACATAAGCTTTTTCTGGTTTGAGCAAATCTGTTTATTCCTTTGGGTAATTTTGGCAGTCCTTGTAAGCCATTCCTGGATGGCTCAGGGTTAGGCATGCTATATGGCTTGAGTTGGTTGCTTTCATGTGGTTGCTGGAGTTTCTCTATACAGGAATGCAGTTGGCTTGCTCCAGAGCCAGACAAGTAATCTGGAATCTTACATTTCATTGACACTTCAAATGCTTAAATAATGTAACAGAATAGAAGTAACTACTGTTCTTCAGGTTTACCTCAGTATGATTGTTTTTTAGAGTGGGCCTGTACTTTTCTGGAAGTAAGTACATTAGAGAAGGAGAAGCAGACAGATCTGCAGTGATAGAGCCATGTGAGTGCCTTAGGGTAGTACAGATAATAACAGACAGGTGGGTCAATGATTACATAGAACTGAAGTCCATTTGTGCCCTCAGAACAGAATTTCAGAGGCTGAATTGCAATAATGTCATGGTCTTTGGCATTGGGGACACAGTCTCAGTTCTGAAAACATTAACATAGCAGGATTAATGATCACTGCAGACAGCATCTGGTACATGTGGGCTTGTTTTCAGGTCATCAAACACTTGTGCTGTTTGACCTGCATTTCCATTTTTAAAAGGTAAAAGGAGGAATGAAGCAATTTTTTTGCATTTTAATATTTCACTTTTAATTTTATTTTGCTAAGTACGATAAACCCATGAGGAAGCACTTAAAAAAATTATATTCTTTAACTGTTGCTATATCTAGTTTACCCATCTGTCTGTGACAGCCAGAAAGGACGGCAAAGACTGGTACAACCTTCGTTTCCCCACAATGAGATGGAGGCCTCAAAGCTGGAGCAAGAATATGTACACAAGGTGTATGAAGAGATTGCCACACACTTCAGCAGTACCAGGCATAGCCCATGGCCCCGAATTGTAGAGTTTCTCACGTCCCTGCCAACAGGATCAATAGTGGCTGATATTGGTTGTGGTAATGGGAAATATCTAGGCATCAGTGAGGATTTGTACATGGTAAGTAGTAGTTACTGTCAGTTCCTTTCATTGGTTCTATTGTTTGTTCTGTCATGCAGTTGTAGCATGTTGGAGGTTCAGTTGTGGGAAGAATGCCAAGAACAGAAAGCTGTTTCCTGGTCCAAGATCAATTACCAATTGTGTTAGGTTTCCACATGCATTCATTATGTACATTACCCTTTTCTTTTTTTCAAAGCCACTTTTGCTTTGCAATTCAAAATATGTTAATAAAAAAATAGTAATGGATGCAGTGGATTGAAAAATTGTAACAGATGGTTTAGCCTTTTGTTATTGAATAAACGTGTTAAAAGTGAAAATGGTTGGGCAGTTTGAATGCTTCCAACTTTTTCGCTTGACTTGTGTGCAGGTAACGCAATCTACATGTCCCTGAAATCTCCACGGGCGGCACTGTTTTTCATGTTATCCTCTTCAGTTCCCTTTGGCCTGGTGGCATGTCTCATTTGTGAATGATGCCATGTTTAGCTGTTCCACCTCTGGCTCTGTGCATAGGCCCAGTAAATATGCCAACATAAAATTCACTGGGAAGTCTAAACTTCGGTACAGAGTTCTGGTCTTTCTCTCACTCCCTTTTCGTCACTTTTAGACAGTTCTGACATCGTTCTTGCTTGTGTTCTCTCTTTCCCTGTCTCACAGTATGTACTTAGTCCAGTTTTACTCTTCTCCCTTCCTATCAGGGAGAGATGAAGCACATAGAAATATGAGCCAAGAGATAGTTTCTATTGCAAATATTTCAAAGCCTTTTGGAAGAAATAAAGTCAAACTTCCTGTTGTTTTAACCCAAAAAAAAAAATCTCAGAGGAGTGTGCATCATGGTATCTGCTCTCCCCTGTTCCAGAACTGTCTGATTTTTTTCACTTGCTTGTACTGGGAAACTCTTTGAAATCCATCAGTCTTGAAAACTTCTATGTAGAGCAAAGCATTCATTACTGATAATAAAACTTGGAGTTGTTTGTCTGTTTCAGGAGTTTATCTCCTGCTATTTATATTCAGCTAAAAACGTGAGTTGTTATTTACAACCCTGTCTGTATTAGTAATGGATTTATTTCCCTTACTGTTCTTACAGGCTAGAATAACATCAACCAATTTATAAGTAGTTATGTTTATGCCTGACTGCTGTAGTCTGCATATAATTATTAATGTTCAGTACCTTCCAGTCTTTCACTCATGACTCCTATAAAAAATAATCAGCAAACCTAACTAGAGAAGAGCAACTTTTATCAGGGTACCATGAAGATCAACTGGTCCTAGAATGAATTTGGTAAATTGCACCTGTGGAGGTTTGTGGTAGACTTTTAAGGTGAAATCATTGCAAGGTGCTGTGTTCCGAAATTGCCAGCACCAGTCTGTTTTCTGGAGCCCACAGTTAACCAGCTAAGGGAAAGAAAGGTCACATGTCAGCTGGCAGTCAAAGGAAATCCAGCCCCTTTCCTCTATTGCTTTCAGATTTACCTCATTCCTTATGTGTCTGCAGGAGAAAGACAAAACACGAAAAATAACAGTGAAAGGGAGGAAACTTTTAAAGAAGCAGTTCAGACAGCTGAAAAACAGAATGTGGGAATTGCTTCGTTCAGTTGGCCTCCCTCAACATTATATTTTCCACTGGTAGTCGTTCTTGGTGGAGACAGACTTTAGACTTTGCATTTGCTTATTTTCATTTGCAAGTCAGCAGAGTCTCAGGAGGATGGATGTAACTCCTTCTTTCTACTAGATTTATTCTTCTGTGGCAGCTAAAATGTGGTTAAAGAAAACCCAGTGTATATTGTGTTTACAGATTTTTTTAAAACTTTTGGCAAGGTATCTCAAATACTATTACTTCCATTTACCATGGGTTGGGCATGGAGCTAGGATGAGAGATTACAGAATATGTTTTATATATCAGATGCATCATTGGGATAAAGGGAATGCTCTCTAGATGTAGAACATCAGTTTTCTCCCTCATTTACTCCTCTTTACTTGGAAGCATAAAATCCAGGCATAAACATAATCAGTTCTGCATCTCTTTTTTTGTGCACAATGTACTGGAGCTCTTAGCCTAGTTCCTGTTGGGAAAGAAGCAATAAAGCCGTGCTGTGAAATTAGGAATTATTTAGGGGTTGGGTAGAGCACTTTTGGCACAGCTCTGTAGCTTGGGGTGTTTGACTCAGAAGTACTGAAAACCTGAGGCAAGCACTTCCTGAAGGCAAGCAATGTGCTTTAAAGGTTACTTTATGCTTTTATGCTTTAAGTAGCAGTGCTAATGGTAGATCAAAGCTAAGGTAGCTCTCTTGATGGTTTTAAGCATCAGGCACTGTCTGAAAATATCTCCGCTGTGGCCTGTGCTATTGTATTTGCTTCAGTTTTTTTGGATGATTACATGCAGCCTTATCTACTTGAGTATCCTTGTGTGACAATGAAATGCATGAGTCCAACTAGGCACAGCAAAAGTGACAGTGCTGTAATGGCTGCATTATTCTGGCACAGTGAGAGAGCAGCAGTAAAGAGCAGCAATTTCATGACAAATAAATTCAGATTAAGAATGTTTGAGTTAGAGATGGAATCCATGTCTGATGTAGCTAGGACAAAGACTGGAGAAAGGTTGAATTTAATATAGTTTCAGAGATGGCTTTAGGGTTGTTTTTCCACAATTCTCTCCCCACTCAGCCTCATTTGGGAGAATTATTTTAACAGATTTTATTTAAGTGCTTTCAAGCTTAATATTCGTATCTGTAAGCAGGGCTTTTATGGAATGTTATGTCTCAGCCTTAACCATTCCCCCGTTACCACAAGGATTTCATTCCAGACCCAGTTGACGTTATTATAAGGATCTCATCAATTTTTATGAGCTTTAGCTTTGTCTCCCAGTTTCCAGTGTTCAGGTAGGTGTGGTGATGTGTAAATCCCTGAAAGAATGTTCAGCATCCTCACAGGGCTGGGGTGTGAATGAAAGACACTGAAACCTTTCCAATTTGTGGTTTGCCTTTTTAATTGAAGGGATAAACTGGTGGGTAGATATTCTTTCTTTATATGTAAAGAAATTGCTCTCCTTGACAGAACACTGATGCTAGGAAAAAAATTATGGCTATGAAGAAGCCAAAATCATTTGTTTTAATACAGACATTCCTATTTCTGTAGTGTGTACCATTGAAAGGTAATTGGTAATATAGTTTATATTTCACAAGACCTTGTAAGACACCCTTTTTCTGCGAGGTGTGCATCTCTGTTTTCTGCATTATTGTCCCAAACTGGGATCCACTGGAAATATATAAGAATTTGATTTTTCCAGAGTGTGGGGAAGAGAGAGGATTAATATTTGCTGTGGTATGGTTGCATAATGTTGGGTGGGTTTTAGCTGCACTGGGTTCATACTAATGAAGAACAGATTTCTCTCCCAAGGTCTTGTTAGAAAATAGTACTTTCTTAGTAGAAAGTAAAAGCAGGAAGGACAGAACTAATTAGTAAAGGTATACCTGGAGCAAGTTCACCATATCTTAGCAATTGAAGGGCAAGACAGAGGAACCTTTTCTGCCCTTTTCTCTCAATGGATAGCAGTCATTAAATTGATGAGAGATCTGGGAAGAGAGCTCAGAAGGAACTGGGCAGCAGCAGCATAAACCCAGAATGAAAGCTGAGTCGCTCAGCTTAGTTCTGTTGCGTTGTCATTGAGAAATGAACTGCGTGTCTTAGACATAGCGCTTTGTTTCCAGAGACACCCTGGCTCTGTGCAATGGAAAACCAAAACACTACGTGAAAGGAATGCTAAAAGCCTGACTCAGACCAATTGGAGCAAGGAGATTTGTCTGTCTTGCTGTGGTTGTGCTGGCGTCTCTTTTTCTACGTGTGTGTGTGTTTTCTGGAATGTAATTTGGTTCCTTGAGCTTCTCGTGCTATTAGTTATAGCTGAGGTATTTCTCTGGGGAGCCACATAATTCCATTCGGTGGCTGGATTTCAGAATTAGATGTTGTTTTCTTCATCACTTTCTAACGTGCTGAATAAATCAGGTTTCCAGATACTCAAATGAACTAATTCTACCAGGTTGAGTTAGTTATAATGAGATAATGTAGAGAGAAAAAATATAATGGTGGGCAGCCTCGACCTGTCTTTACCTACATTTAAGCTTCCAAGAGGATTTATCTTTTGCAGATTTGCAGCACCATTACAAAGCAAGCTATTTATTTAGTGTGTTTTTCCCCCTAATGTTCTGTTCCAAACCATTGTGTTAAATAGATTTTATAAAATTTACTTTACCTACTCCTGGCTGAAACAGTGAAGGTGAAAGTGCCTGGAAACATGAAAGAGCAGATAACACAGGATCTACCTGTGTTATCCATTCCCAGGAAGGCAGTACAGGGCTGCTGCAAACTCAAACAGCACACAGGTGTTACATTTGTGTCTCACTCCTTTCTCCTCTTTTATCTTGGTCTTTTTTGATAATTTTATTGTCTCAAGGTTTGTGTTACCCAGTGTGCTCAGAGTGGGTGTGGTATGCCAGAATGATGACATGCCTTTGGCTCTTTCCTAGGTTTTGTGTTTGCTGGGCTTCTACTTACAGTTACAGGCCTCTATACTAATATTTCCTTGCTTAATATAAGTGTTGGATGAAGATACAATGAAAATCAATGCAGTAAGCAGTAAACAGGTTTCAGTGGCCATTCTCATGCTCCTGTGTGCTATTGTCTATATCACTGAAAGCAGTGAAGACAAGGATGGTGGTACTTCCCAAAAAAAAGCAGGAATGTGGGAATGGATGCATGGAGAAAAATCAGAGAAGCCTGAGAAGGCAGCTTCCTTTGGGGAAATACTGAAAAGTGCAGAGCAACTTGCTGAGAGGTGGACTCACTAAGAGTTAGGTTCAGATGAATAGTCAGCCATGCTATTTGAGATATATATGAGAAATTGATGGAACTCAAGAAGGAATTTGATTTGGAAAACTGGGTATAAGAAATGATTGAGAAGACTCATAGATAATAAGAAATAGAGAACTGTAAAAATGTATACAACTTGGCTCGCCAAGAGATGTAGTAGGTTTGGTTGGGTTTGGACACTGAACTAATAGTAATTAATCTACCTTTCTCCACTCTTCTGGAGAAGATATCATCAGCAGGGACAATAAATATCCTGTGCTGAGCATCAAAATTAGAGATATGAACTGGCAAAAATTAAAGCTTTCCAGTTATATTTTGAGATTTTTTTAAAAATGTTTGAACACACATTTAATTAGAGAGAGAAAAATAAACCTGTTGTTAATTAAAACAGTCTTTTGAACTCTTTTCTGTAAATGAAGCTTCATCACATCAAAGCTTCTGCATGCTTTAGAATGTAGAAATCAGTTAGTAACGGAATTGGGAAAAGCTGAGCTTGGGATCTCTGGTCCTGGCTGTAAATGTTTTCTGTACTCATAAAAACCACAGATAGGCTCATTTTCCAGCTGTAAGCTGGCATTGCACCACCAAAGTTATCTGGGTTTTGATAGCTTATTGTTTTCTAAGTGACTGAAACCAATGTATTTTGGGTTTCAGTGAATGCATGTCCCTTGTAAGCCAGAAAATGCAGGAATGTGGTGATTATAACTATTTTAAAACATTATGCAGAGATAATACTAGTAAAACAGTTCTAAATTTGCCTAGCTTCTGCACCAGGTATCTGTGGTGACTCCCTGTGTTCACCATTTATGCATCTATGCATAGCACCTATTATCATGTTTACTTTTAAAAGCACATAAAGTTTTAGCCTAATATACCTCTTTTAGAGCAGCTGTGCCTTCAGGGGCTTCTATTTCAAGGTCTCCATTTTCACTGCAAAACAGCATCTTTTGGCTGTGGATGTACATTGGCTTTAGTAAGTATGACAATACAAGTAAGCCTGACTTCATAATATTTGATATAATTTAGATGCAAATGAGGACTTTGCATTCTGGCAGTCATGCCTTTGTTCTCATTCTCGATTTCATTGGATTTCATCAACATACATGGTAGTCCTTTTCAGGGTCATTTTGGGAGCAGGGGATTGCGTTCCATTATCCAGCCTGTTTTCACTATAGATGCAGAGGGCCAAAGCAATTCTTCCTGGGAAAGCTTGCTGTCAGTGGAAGCTGCAAGTATTCTTCTTCCTCCTTCTGCCAGCAGTGAATTCGGTCCTTTGAGTTTTATTATTAAGTTCTGCAAGCTAATGTCTTAATTGCAGAAGTAGTTAAAGGCACCAGTAATGAGGTGTGCAGTCGCTAACATGCAGGTTGCCAGAGTAATTTAAAGGCACTTCAGTTGGCTTCCAGTGTGAAGTGATGGGGATTTATGTTTACTTTCAAGTAAACAGGATGTTTTTTTTAATTCATGAACAGCTCTATTCACTCAGTGCTTCAGTAAATGTGAGAGGCCAAGAAATACATGGGAAGAAAGCAATGCTAGGATTGATCTTTTCAGATCTGTTTATTGCTAATTGGCAGGACAATGTGTACATACTCATAGGGCTATTTTTGCAGAGGATTATCTTGTGTTGTCAGGTTGGCATTTTCACAACTGTTTCATTTATTTTGGATCAAAAGTCAGGGACCTGACTAGAAAGCAGCTCACATGAAAGCTTTCAGGACATAAGACTGGAACAGAATTCTAGTTTTCTTCAAAACTGTGATGGTAGGCTGAAAGATAAAATTATTTGAACTAATAAAATGAAAAATTATGATCGAAAATAAATATATTTTAATCACTGGAAAAGAGGTTTTTAATTTTAGCAGTACTGTTGTCTCTGCTGGGTTGATTAAGCAGAGCAAGTTGTTTGTTATTCTTCTTGCATCAAAGGTGGTTTAGTATTCTTTCAGTATTGAATGCAATAAACACTGTCAGTAGTAATTATTTAGGATTCTGAAACTGTTCACTGCCATTTACTTGTTGCTGGTCATTGAAAACAAAAATAAATGTAATATTCTTATACAAGCAGAGTTTGATATACAACCTGGTAGCAGGGCTTTGGTTAAGGTATTCAGTGTGCATGGCAGATGTGAAAATGAGGATGGTGCATGCCTCACTCTATTTCTTTCTATTAGAAAGAGTATTGATCAGTTTGAATTTATTGGTTTTTTTGCAAGCATGTGAAAAAACCTCTTCTATATGCTGATTTTTCAAAGATGGTAAGTTTTACTGTCTTTGACATGGACACTGGGCAAAGTTTAAAGGGCCAAAACCCAGACGTTTTATAAGGTGTTTTGAAATGGTTTCTAGGGGTCATTTCACCTGGACTGTACAGAACCTTGGAAAATGATGTTGTGCTTAAATTTTTTGTGGATCATGATACTGAAGGGTAAGAAGCCTGTATCTGAGCACTTCCTTACTTACACTGAAGCAGGAAAACCTGGTTGTGATCAGTGATACTGTATGACATACTTTAATGATGCCTCCAAAGTCACCAGATAGTCATTTGCACTTGTAGATCAGCTTTTGTCAGTTCAGTACTTTGGTGCTTCAAATGTTGTCAAATTAACAAATGGCAATTGAAATGGAAAGAAAATACTAAGGTTAGGTCACCTCTCATTTTGCTGATTTCAAGATACCTTGAATTACTTTTGAAGAAAAGTTAGGTTGAAACCTGGTCCATCTTAAGCTGGTTCAAAATCAGGGTGTTATAATGAGCTGTCTACTATCCAGTCTTCCAGCTTTGTTTTAAGTAAGCATCAGGGTTGTTTTCTTCTTGTCTATACCTGGGAGCCGTATATTCCTCTTAAGGCTATTTTCTCACTCTTACTCTTGTTTTGATTTCAAACTAAAATGTGTTCCCTCAGTAGGAGACTGTGATGACTCTATTACTGTAAGCATCAAGTAAAAATCATTTTCCAGTCTTGTAATTATCCTCTTATGAAAAGCTTAATGAAACACTTTCTGTTCTAGGTTGGCTGTGATCGCAGCAAAAACCTGGTGGATATTTGTGGAGAAAAGCATTTCCAGGCTTTTGTCTGTGATGCCCTGTCAGTGCCAATGCGCAGTGGCTCCTGTGACGCCTGCATCTCTATTGCTGTAATACACCATTTCTCAACAGCAGTAAGTCACCCCTCCCTGTGCTCCTCTGTGCTGCTGTACTGCTGTGCAGAGCTGCTAATACTACAATGAAAGCAAAAGGGAAGACCAAAATAGAAAGAAGTTAGAAGGTTTGCATTCAGTGTAAGCAGTTGTCAGAGCAGAGTTAACCTGCTGTGCTACTGCTTCTTCTTAGACTTTTCTGTTCACGTTCTCTCTCTCCTTGTCAGATGTCCTTGCTCCTCCTGGTGCTTTGGTCTAAATGTTTGTGTTTCATTTTTGTCTGCTTACAATTAATGACATAGGAGAAGGGGGCTCTGCGTTAGGAGGCAGGAGCTGTATTTCTTCCTGGCTCAGATCTTTGGCTCTTGGGCAGATCTTGTAGTTTTGGGTTCTTTCCCCTCTGTGCATTCATTTTCCATCTCTGAATGAAAGGGACAGTACTCACTAGTCTGCTTTATCTCTGGGCTATGTAAAGTTCTCCTGGCAGGAACTGTGTGATGGTAACAAGCTTCAAGACCATGAAGCCATCTTAGAGGGCCCCACAGATCTCTCAAAACCAGAAATGCAGCAAATGTTTCCAAATCCAGTATAAAAAAGTCGAAGTCTATTTTGGAGAAGGCTGAAATATGTTTGTTTGAGTGGTCAGAGGACCTGTGTTTAAGCTGTAAATCTGACTTCTTCGGCTGCAAACTTAGGGTGTGCATCATCAGGTTTGGTAGATTTGAATCTGGGATTTTAAATAATGAATAGCCTTATTGAAGAGGCATGTGTCATTTTCAGATGGACTGTGACACTCAGCACAGGACTTTTTTCAAATGAAAAGAGAATAATAAAATCCTTTAAGTTAGAAAAGACCTTTAGATCATCTAATCCAGTGCTGCCAAGTCCAGCACTAGACCGTGTCACTAACTGCCACATCTACATGTCTTTTAAATACCTCCCGGGATGATGACTCCACCACTGCCCTGGGCACCGTATTCCAATGCTTGACCACCCTTTTGGTGAATAAGTTGTGTTTCAGTGAGAAATGTCTTTAGAAAAATATCTTGGTTTGCACATGATGGTGGACTGTATAATGAATGAAAATGAGTAGTGAAAAATATCCCTTACTTTTAATTTTGATTGTATCTTGGGGGAACAGTAAGGATGAGTTGATGCCATTCTCCTTACTTTTTGTTTATGTACTAGCTTCACATTTTCTGCTTTTCCTTTCCAGGAGCGGAGGCTGGCTACTATCCGTGAGCTAGCCCGGCTTCTTAGACCTGGTGGAATGGCACTCATTTATGTCTGGGCAATGGAACAAGAATACAAAAACCAGAAGTCTAAATACCTTAAGGAAAAGAATGGTAGTAAAGGCAAAGAAAAGGAAATCAATACTGGGACAACGCAGAGACTGCTTACTGATCAAGTGCCTGGAAGCAGCAACCAAGACTCAGCATGTTTTGACCAACTCATTAATGACTTGCAGATCGAAGGCTGCGATGCAAGGACAGTGGGAGCAGACTTCAGACTACCTGTTCATACTAACCGAACTTCCTTTCAGTCTCAAGATTTGCTGGTTCCCTGGCACCTGAAAGGTGGTACTAAAAAGAAAGAGGAAGGTGTTGATACAGTGTTGGTTCCAGCTGACTCCAAGGAATCACAAAAACTCAGTCCTGTTTTCCACCGCTATTACCATGTGTTCTGTGAAGGGGAACTGGAAGCAGTGTGCAAATCCCTGGACTGTGTGAGGGTTCAGAAGAGTTACTATGATCAGGGAAACTGGTGTGTGATTCTAGAAAAGTTGTAGTCTGTGGTGTTGCCTCCACTATCTGTAGTGTTTTGTTTTTTACAGTGTGAAAGGTATTTTTAATGCAGGCTGCAGCTATTGCCTCTTTAAAAACAGCAGAATAAAGACTGTGTTTGAATTAATAACAGTGACTATGTGCATATTTTAACAAAATAATGGTCAAATTTGGATACTACATCTGCAGAGTGTTTACTTCTGTGAATTAGAGTGGAGAGGATTAAGTGGGAAAATACTGGCCATGCAAATCAGTAAGGCCAGTGTTGAGCTTTTAAAGACAAAGGGTCTGGTTCTCCCTTCTCTTACACCATTTTATGGTGGTGTAGCTGTAGTGGTCTCCCTGTAGCCCACAGCTATGGAGCTCTGGGCAGGAAAAGCAGAGCTGTTTGCTGTGTAAAACTGTGGGCCGGGGAGGCTGTGTACGTGTCCATGAGGGGTCACAGGTCTCTTTCAATTTAGAATTTACTCTCTTGGTTGCGGCAATAATGGTTTCCTCAAAGGGAGCTGCAAAGTCAGTGGGGATACCATTTTTCTCTTCTTTGACTCTCAAACACCCACGACTCATGCTGTCGCTCCCCAGATTTCCATAGCTCTTCATTGTAGTGTTGTTTGAAAGCTCCTCTAAGGGGTGAGTTGCCCAGCTGGAATACCCTGACCAGCTCTGCTAAATGCCTGCGTTCCTGTGAGCACAGGTCTCTGTGGTGTGGGGTGACCCTCAGATCCCCCTGGGGGAAAAACAGGAAATATATTAAAGTGAAAGCAGTATTGGTGCAGATTTTCTGCAGGGTACTTTCAACCTCTGAAAGTTGGTAGTGGAACAGGTTTTATTTACTGCATTTCAGAAGAGCAAAGAACTGGAGTAGAGAGGAACTGATGCTGGGGTGGCTGACTCAGCAGCCCCTTTGGCTGTGGCCTGCAATGACTAGCACAATTTATTTAACACAACTCTTTTGCTATCCAAGGGGAGTGCCACCTGCGATGCATTTCTAGAATTAAAATATACTGGGCTGGCTTTTGCAGGGTAAGTGGCTGTTGGTGCCTCTGGAAACCAGGGCTGCTAAGCTGCCTGTTATGTTGTAGCAAGACCTGTAGTTGTAGCAAGACCTATGGTATGGGCAGATTATGTTGCTGCAACTGATGGCATCTAAACCGAGGTACCTATCCTAAATGATGTGGGAACTTGGAGATCAGCTGCGTGCCTTTGGCCTACTCCTGCCTGCCTCACATGTGCAGGTTAAGGGCTGCTGTGCTGGCAGTTTGCTCACAGTCACCATTTCTCCTGGGCTCCCATCTTATAATGGAGAAAGCCTGATGCAAATGACAGTGGTAAGAGGGGAGTTTGCTGACACCACAATTCACCTGGTGTGTGTCTTGCTCACTATCTGCTTCCAAAGAGCACTTGGGGAAGATCTCATTCCTGAGCTGAACACGTTGTCCATGTAGCCCTGTCCTAACTGATTTCTTTTCTTTGGGTTACATGGAAGCATCTGTGGCTATGAGCCTGCTTGGGCATGTTCAGGAGTCGATTTGCATACAGTCAAGGAATATGACACAGCTGGAAGCACGTTTTACATCAAGGTCTCTGAGCTGGCTTCAGTACTGGGACACCGTGTCTGAGTGCAGCAATGCACCCAGTTCCCAGCTGGACTGTGGGACCAGAGCTAGGACGCAGTGCCACACAGTGTCAGTGTGTCCCTGGTGAGAAAGGGCAGGGACAGCCTCTGCGGGGTGTCTGAGCAGTGACTGACTCACTAAATTGAGCTGCCTATTACTTCTGATTATGTGAATTGCATTCATGTGGAATAAAGTAGGAGGGCCACGGACCACATCTCTCAAGCTCTGTGTCTGCGCAGCCCTGTGTTTGCTGGTGCCTGGACTCCTGCTGAGCACACAACAGCTGCTGTTTGTACATTTGCCTGTAGGTGCATTTTCTGTAAGAATATACAGTGTACAGGCAAGGAACACAAGCATTGCCTGAAACAGTCTGAAGTGTTGCCGTATCTTGACCTTGTGTGACAAATTAGGAATCAGCTCTGCAGCTGTGCTCAGTTGCTCAATGTACTCCTGTTCTGACTGGGGATAGCTCAGAGGTGCCACCTCCAAATTCACAGCTGGCTCTGAGCTGGGCACAGGGTTAAGTAGTATTCTAACCTGAGGCTTGAATGCATCAAGTAGACATAAACCTTGAACAGTCGAATGTGGACTTTATGTAACAGAGTGATCTATTTTTCACAGTCCTGTGGCTCCTCCAGAACTCTGCTGCTTCCCTCTGCTTCCCTGGCAGAGGCAGCATTAGGCAATATCCAGTGTGGCATTCAGCATTTCTTGACTGCCAGGCTGATTAACATCATTTGTTGACTGCCACTTGTATGAAGAGGTCAGATTCCCTCTTTCACCAGTTCTGCAGTGAAGCACCTGGAGTATCCGAGAGAAGAGTCAGATTTTGCTATCAGCCTTTGATACCTGTCTTTCTGTCAGGAATTACTTTTAGCTATGTCACAGCAGCATTTCTAATCCATTTCACCCTAGCTCAGAGCAGAAAGTGTTACTCTCCCTGTCCCAGGCAGCCTGATGGTGATGGGTCTCAGCAGATGTTGGTTCTGGAAGGAGGTTCTGGCATGGAGAACACCAGCTTGGGCAACCCTGGTTGAACATGCAATACATAACTCCTTACCAAAGAGGGTTTTCCTGGCTTTTCTGAGGGCTGTGAGCTGGAGGATGGTCGCAGCAGCACGTCAGCTCTTGAAAGATGCTAAAGGAGTTCAGAGTACTCTGACATCCTCTGGAAATGTTATGAAACATTTCTTTGATTAAAGTCAGGCAGCCTCTTCAGATGCTTGAAAAGGAATCAAGTGGTGAAGGAGAAAATTACAAGGGAGGATAGCATGTAGATGTTAACAAAATGTATTGCAGAGGTTTACTGAGGAGTTCTTCCAACACAGAATTATGTGCCACCACAGCTGCCCTCTGCAGTACTCACTTGCCCTTTTTTAACTCCTGGAAGTATAATGAGATGAAACTCTTTAAGGTGAATAGCTGGATTTAAATGTTAGAGGTTTCACAGTACAGTGGTTTTCATAGTAATTATGTTCCCTTTTTGGCCTTACTTAAATAACAAATGTGCTCAAATGCTTATTCATTTGCAGTCTAGAAGATAAAAGGAAAGCAAAGCTCCATGTGGGTATGACCTGTACTGTGAATGCAAATGCTTCTCCTTTGGCAGTCCTCCCTGATGTCCCAGACATCCTCAAAGTGCCTCAGTGCACTCAGAAGTAGGGAGGTGGGAGTTTCTGCTCTGGCCCAAAGATGACCCTTGGTTTGACTCCGGGCACATGCAGACAAATGTGGCTGTTTTGGGGTTCCCTGTCCCCTTTATTCCCAGCCTCCTGTTCCAGAGACCACCAAGGCTACCCAAGGTCAGGTACCCCTGACCCTGCATTGAGCCAAGTATTGCACTGTTCTGCCCTGACAAAGCAAGTGCTTCAGAGCACCCCTGGGCTTAAAACTACAGAAACGATGTGATTTGTTGTCCCAGGGGCAGACAGAAGATGAAACCTGCAAAGCACAGAGGACTTCTTTTAACTTCATAGAGGACTTCTTTTAACTTTTAAAAGAGTGATGTCCTGGTGCAGCCACACCAGTGACAAAAACTCCTTCAGACCTCAGAGAAGCTGGATTTCCCTTGAAGTGCTCAACTTTATCAGGGAGAGGTTTAGAGCAGCAAATAGCACAGGACAACATGCTGACTGCATATCTTTGCTCACTGAGAACCACAAAAAGCTGCACAGGGACCACAGCTTCCCTTCAGAGAGCTTGAAGGACTGGCCTTGGCACAGTGAGCAGAAGATGAGCTCTTGTACTGCTCCCCAAGGCTACACGAAGGCAGCATAGAGGAGAATGCAGTGGGAAAGGCAATTTGCCCTGTTTCTGAACTTCTCCAAAAGTTTTAATATGATGGAAGAATTCTTGATAGACTTATATGTCAGTCTTTGATCAAAACATCAAAATCTACTTGAGAACCTATTTCTGGTGAAGCTTCCAAATGATCATTCTGAGAGAATATTTAGGTCTTATCTGAACAACAAGACTCTTAAGTTTGCTATTTGCCTGTTTTGGTGGTGTGTTTGTTTTGTTTGTTTTTTTCTGTTTAGTGTTTGTTAGTATTTCAGAACTGTTTCTCTATTTTTAGCGAAGTTTGTCAAGATCTTTATTTTTCTGTGCACAACAATTTCCAGCATGATTTTATGGAAATCTGTGGTGAAGAAATTGTGGATGTCTGTAGTGAAGTTCTGCATGTGGAAAAAAAAGATATTTCCATGTGCACAGAACAATACAAAAAAGCTTTATACTTTAAGTAAAACATAAAAAAAAACCAATATGGAAAAATTTCAAGTGCTCTTCTCTATTGCAAGCCATGCTTCAGCCATTGGACTGACTGGTTAAGTCTGTTTTTACCTGTCTTATGTCAGTCTGGAAGGGGCTTCAATGTGCAACCCACAAATTTCCTTTGTCACTGGGTCCGTATTTCTGCAAATTTCACAACTGGGATTACGTTAACTTTTCTGCCTTGCCTTCTGTATGGTTAATAGTGCATACTATCTTGGCCCCTTATGTCTCTGCTTTGCAGTGGTGCCTAGAAAATACTGAAGCAGCGTGCTACCAATAGCCTGTCCCACAGCTGTGTGATCCTTGCTGCCCTTGTCTGTATCCTTATTTCTTTCTACCATATTTTGTACAGTCTCTGAGGCGTGTGGTGTTTGTGTTTGCACAGTGCCGGTGCAGCTGGCTGCTCCTCTGCTGCTCTGTTTCACACAGGGTTTGGTTCCGTAGGCTTGTTCCTCAGCAGCAAAGGCAGATTGACACTTGTCTTAAACTGCAGGTCCCATCTCTTGGCTATGCTGAAAATCTGTTTGAGATGGCTTCAAGGAGAAAAATTACATTAGACTCATTTTGTAGGAGGAAAGAAGCCTGAGACAGGTAAGATCGCTCCAGCTCAGGGTTGTTCCATGGACACATGCAGATATGTACTGAGGGTCCAGGTGGCAGGAGATGGTATTTGACCCCCTCCTAAGCTTTTGCTTTGCCTAATCTCTCCTAATTTTTGCTGAGTATATTGAAATGCTTATAA